TTCCTACCTCCTCTCTTTTTCTCATGATCAGTCTTGCTAAAGGTTTACCTTTGTTTTTTTTAAGAGTTTTAAGTGCTAGCTTCTGTTATTGTTGGTTTTTTTTCATTAATTGCTGCACGTATTCACTTCTTTTGAAAGTTTATTCTGTTGTCATTATTTCTGAATTTCTCGAAACATCTTTAGTTGAGTCCTTACTCCTGTTCAGTCTCTTGCTTTTTCATCATTGCACTAAATTTGAAAGTTTCTGTAAATTTCCCTCTAAGCACTGGTTTAACTGCCTCCCATAAGTTTTGATGTGTATACTTTTGTTACTGTGCCATTTTAAATATTCTGCATTTCCATTGTGGTTTCTGCTTTAACCCACAAGTTATTTAGGAATATGTTTTTTAGTTTCCAAACATATCTGTTTTTACTTTTTTTTTCCCTTTTCTTCTTTTTCCTTTACAGTTTTTCAGCAATTTTATATTCTGTTTTCTTTTGAAGTGGGCCATGTTTGAGCTATAAGACTTCAGCCTTTTTTTCCTCCCATTTATTTATTTACTTACATTTAAATTCCTTGGAAACCCTAAACTATATGTGTTTCACTTATGCTCTTGAGTGAGGCCCCAAAGCCCCCACCACCTTTGCATCAATGAAGAAACATGACAATGAAATTGCTGGACATCTGCTACCAAGCAGATACGCCAAACAAATAGTTCTGCATTTCCTCTGCAAATCCATAGAGGTTGACCAGATAGATGGGAGGAAGGCAAGGAGCATCTTGCCATGTGGCTCCCAAACTTGAGTCCAGGAATGAGAATTGCTGCGCTACCCCTCTGAAAATGAAACCTAATATTTTTAGTTACAGCCAGATCGAAGGAGAAAGCAGGCTGTGGTCAAAAACTTGTCTAGGAGCTTCCCAGCTCTTGGTAGCTGAGAGGTAACATCTCCCAGGTATTGACACACTTAACCCCGCAGGCAGGCAGGACTTTGTTTTGTTTTGAGACAACGTCATGCTGGGTTGCCTGGTCTAGAGCATATTAGGATCATCATAGCTCACAGCAACCTCAAACTCCTGGGCTCAAGTGATCCTCCTGAGTTGCTGGGACTACTGGAATGTGCCACAACACCCAGCTAATTTTTGTATCTTTTGTAAAGCTGGGGTCTCTCCCTTTTGCTCAGGTTGGCCCCAAACTCCTAGCCTCAAGTGATCTTCCCCCTATGGTCTCCCAAAGCACTAGGATTACAGGTGTGAGCCACCACACCAGGCAGAGGCTCTTGTTCTCAATCAGGACTGTTCCTACTGTTCTCACAGCAAACTGTAAGGAGGGTCTTCCCTCAAACAGATCTGAAAAAGCTGTGCCACTCTGAACAATATAAAAAAGGATTCAGACTGCCTGGGTTTGAATCCTGGCTTTATCATTTTATAGTTGTGAACGAGTTACCTAACAGTTACTTCTGTTTCCTTACCTTTAATGGATATACATGTAACAATAGGTTCTACTTCTCCGATAATAAATGACACATAGTAAGCAACTAGTAACTGTTAGGTATTGTATTATTATTCATTCAGTTCCTGAGCTGTTTTCATCCCAATCCTGCATTTGAACTGGCTTTCACGTTCAGTTTCTCCATCCCTCTCTTATTTGACTGAAATTCATTCTCTCCTAATTTCTTCAGGAGATACTAATAGGAATTATATTTTCTGAACCTTGTTCAAAAACATTTGAAGCCTTTTACTTGAAAGAAACTTTGGCTGTGTGACATCATAATATTATTAAAGTCACAGATGATCTATTATACCACTTAATCCTCATAATAATGCTATAAATCAAGTGCTTCTAACATCCCTTCATACAAATGAGGACATCGGGACATGGGCAGGTCACACTTCCTTTCCCCAGAGCCTGTGCTGGCGTGGCACCGCTGTTGTTGACTGTTGGATGTGACTATGGGGAAACTTGGGGCCACTGTAATTTGTTTCCCCTTTTTTGCCTGGATGCTCAGACTTTCACTTAGGACATTGTATGTCCTTTCAAGCTGTAGATTAAAGCATGCTTTCATTTATTTCGAGTATATATATTTTTCTTTCCCACTAGTTCACATTCTCCCTCATATAGACATGCTGGATACCTTTTGTCTCCTATGTCTATAAATTTATCTCAAATTCATTTTAAAATTTCTGTTTCACCTCACTCTTCTCTGTCCTCCTAAATCTTTTTTTTTTTTTTTTTTTTTTTTTTGAGACAGAGTCTCAAGCTGTCCCCCTGGGTAGAGTGCTGTGGCATCACAGCTCACAGCAACCTCAAACTCTTGGATTCAAGCCATTCTCTTGCCTCTGCCTCCCAAGTAGCTGGTTACAGGTGCCTGCCACAATGCCCAGCTATTTTTTGGTAGTAGTTGTCGTTGTTCTTTGGCAGGCTAAGGCTGGATTCCAACCCGCCAGCTCCGGTGTATGTGGCTGGCACCCTAGCCACCTTGAGCTACAGGCACTGAACCAGTCCTCCTAAATCTTAACTGGGTTTTATCTCTTCTATCTTTCACTCCCATTTATAATGTGGCTTTTATTTGTAGGATTTTAAATTTTTCTTTCTGAGTCCTGTCAGCTTATTTTACATATCCTTCTCTTGCCTCCTCATTTCTTCTTATTTTTGTTTTATTTTTGAGACAGAGTCTCACTTTGTCACCCTTAGCAGAGTGCCATGGCATCATAACTCACAGCAATCTCAAACTCCAGGGCTCAAGCGATTCTCTTGCCTCAGCCTTCTGAATAGTTGGAACTGCAGCCCACCACCATGCTCAGCTATTTTTTAGAGACAGGATCTCACTCTCACTCAGGCTGGTCAAACTCTTGAGCTCAGGTGTGAGCCACCACACCTGGCCTATTTCTTCTTATTTGCAAACTGTTTGAGTAAGTCCTTTGAATTCATAGCAGCATATTTGGTATGCATCATGGCTACATTTTTCTGAGAAAAAACTTTTTCTTTTGAAACTGGATATTGCTCTGTTGACATCATAGCTCACAGCAACCTCAAGCTCTTGGAATCAAATGATCCTCCTGCCTCAGTCTTCTGAGTAGCTGGAACTATAGGCTCATGTCACCATGCCCAGCTATTCTTCTCTATTTTTTGTAGGGATAGGTTCACCCTTTTGCTCAGGCTAGTGGAAAATTTCTTTATTTGACATTTGCTTTTCCAATTCCTTTCCTTCTAATTCTTGTAGACTTGCTATATAGACAGATCATTTGCTGTATTCTTTTAATTACTACTCATTACTGAATGAAAAGAGTTATTCCTCAACTTGCCATTTGCAAGAAGTAGCTGGGCAGTGAACTGAGCTGGTAGTGAAGCTGCTTGTAGCTATGAAGGAGAGGGTGAGGGGAGAGAAAAAATAGGTGAAACAGACAAACAGACACCTAACTCGGTTTAGCCTGTATCTCTCCCCAGCAACTAAAAGGATATTCATAACACAGACTCTCCCTATGTCCATCAGCAGATGCCTCGAACAAAGGTAACTTTTTTTTGTTGTTGAGACAGAGTCCCACCCTGTGCCCCTGAGCAGAGTGCAGGGGCTTGGTAGCTCACTGCAACCTCAGACTCCGGCTTGTGGGCATCCCGCTGCCTCAGCCTCCGGAAGCCGCTGGGATTACAGGCGCTCACCACCATGCCCGGGCTGGGTTTTTCCATTTTTTTCATGAGTCAGGGTGTCACTTTTGCTCAGGCAAGTCTCGAACTCCGGAACTCCAGCAATTCTCCCTCCTTAACCTCCCACAGTGGGAGGCCTGGGATTACAGGCGTGAGCCACTGTGCCGGCAAAGGTAACATTTTTAAGGAAGATACCATCCAGTCCTGCCTTATCATACTATTTCATGATGCCAAATAAAGTCCTGGGGAGTTCCCATAGTTTATGCCCCTTAAACCTTTACTGTACCAGGTCATTAAAAAAGCCTTGAAAAATGAAAATAAAAAAATAAACCTTTGTTGCAAACCAGGATCATAGTTCTGCTCCTCAGATATACCACTCATTTGGTGCCCTGCCAAGTGTGCGAACTGGGGCCACATCAGGTATTAAAACTCAGCATAGGCTCGGCGCCTATAGCTCAGCTGGCTAAGGCGCCAGCCGCATACACCTAAGGTGGCGGGTTCGAATCCCCAGCCCGGACCCGCCAAACAACAATGATGGCTGCAACCAAAAAATAGCCGAGCGTTGTGGCGGGCGCCT